ATTTAAACTCACAGAATCTAAATGTTTCACTACAGAAAAAAGAAAAAAAAACTAAACACAAAAGAAAGCACTAATACGGGGACAAAAAAGCTATAAGGTAGATAGAAAACAAATAGTAAAATGATAGAAGCCACTCTTTATCAGTAATTACTTTAAATGTAAATGGATTAAACTTTCCAATCAAAAGACAGATTGTCATAATTAATTTTAATAATCCAACTATATGCTGTGTATTAGAGAGTCACTTTCAATCCAAAGACACAGACAGATTGAAAGTGAAAGGATAGTTGAAGATATTCCATGCACATAGTAATCAAAAGAGAGTAGAACGGCTCTCTTAGAATGGTTTGACTTAAGAGTTTTCAACTTTTCAATGGTACAAAATTAATACAAAATCATACAGAAATTGTACTTCAAGTACCCATACAACTACTCTGTTTTTTACTTTTAGTATTCAGTAAATTGTATGAGATATTCAACACTTTACTATAAAATAGACCTTATGTTAGATGAGTTTGCCCAACTACAGGCTAATGTAAGGTAGGTAACAGGTTAAACTTAATGTTCTACGTGTAAGATGTATTAAATGCATTTTTTATTTATAATATTTTCAATTTATTAAGGGTTTACTAGGATGTAACCCCATTGTAAGTTGAGGAACATCTGTATCAGACAAAATAGACTTTAAATCAAAAAGGTTAGAAGAGGTAAAGAAAAACGTATATGAATAAATGGTTCAATACAGCAAGAGAATACAATAATTATAAAAATTTACACACTGAATGACAGACCATCAAAATAGGTGAATCAAAAACTGACAGAATTGAAGGGAAAAATAGGCAATTGTATAATAATAGTTGGAGACTTTAATACTCCATTCCCAATAATAACTAGACAGATAAGTCAGGAATACAATTCCACTCCTGGGTATAAACCCAAGAGAATTGGAAACATGTTCACACGAGAACTATTACATGAACACTCATGGCAGCATTATTTATAATAGCTTAAAAAAGTGGACGCAAGTATCTATCAATAGATAACTGTATTTAAAAAGTTATATATTAATACAATATTATTAATTATATATAATATTGTATATTATTCAGAACTAAAAAAGAATAAAGTGCTGGCGAATTCTATAATATGGATGCATCCTCAAAACATCAAGCAAAGTGAAAGAAACCATCATGCAAAGTGAAAGTACTACACATTGTATGATGCCCCTCATATGAAAAGTTCAGAATAGGCAAATCCAGAGATAGAAAATAGACTCGTTTTGGACAAGAGCTAAGGAAAATGGGAAATAAGGAAAAAGGAATATGATATTTCATTTTGCAGTGATGAAAATATTCTAAAACAAGGTAGTGATAATGGTTGCACAACTCTGTGAATGTGTTTAAAACTGCTTACTTGTATACATTAAAAAGATGAATTTTATGGCATATGAATTATATCTCAAAATGCAGTTTTTTAAAAAAAGTGAATGAAAGGAATAATGCATTTTCATCTGAAATGGAAGATTTAGGATCTGGTTATCAAAGACTCAATGAGAGAACAGAATGCTTTAATATTCCAGCACATCAATCCACTCTCTTGTCACTATAATCCCTGATCAGAATTGCTGAGTTATTTTATTGTTACCCTCATTACCTTTAACCCAAAAGGTCTTAGTTGACTAAAGAATTTTTCCCTTTCTTTGAAGTTCAACATACGTTTAAATATTTGTAAAACATATAAGGAGAAAAGGGTGAAAATTAAAATCCAGATATAGAATGCGACCTAGAAAAATCCATTGCTGGAACATGACATGAAAGTTAACTGTGGACTTTTTCCTTTTCCACATTACAATGGGTTTTCAAAATGCAACTGATGAAACCCAAGAAGTAACAGATGTCACATAAAGCCTATTTCACATTCACAAAACCTAACTATGCTGCACAATGTAATATGGGGGGATTCTGGTTAAACTTCACAAAATGCAGTATTCTATGTCTTGGCATGACATTAAGGGCCCCCAAGAGGAAATGTCTTGTGGAAAGACTATTTCTTGGTACCTTTTACCAGAAGGCCACCCTCTGGCTTCCTACTCAGGATCTTTGGGCAGAATAGAATGTCTAACCATTGGTATTTTAAGACTGAAGAGGACTTAAATAGTTTTCACATATGCCAGGAATTTAAAATGACATCTTAATTCAAGAATCATAATAAAAGGGGAGGATAAAAGTAAATTCTTTGCTAGCAGTTAATACAGATACAAGACATTAAATGATAGTTAAAGTAAAAATTGGTTAAATAAGTATCAAAGAAGTATAATCAGACATCACCATCAAATGTGATAAATTATATATTCAAATTTGAAATGACTTTAGTTCATTTATTTACTCATCCGACTAATATTTTATTGCACACTGGATACACCACAATAAAAAAACAAAAGTCCTCTCTTTCTACTCTCCTGGAGCTTAAAATGTGTTCAGTAATACTCCTGCTACTGCCAATAAACAATAATATTAATTGAGGAGGCATAAAATCTTTGAAAGAACACTGATCTTGGAATCCCAAGATCTGAATCCCAATTTCACATCCACCAATTACTAAGCAAGTGTATTAGCTTTGTCAACTCAATTTCTCTCTCTTCTAGATATGTCAGCTTAATTATACTAAGCCTCAAATTTATACCTTGAGAAAAAAGGTGTATGATATTCCCTGTCCTGTGTATCTCGTCAGTTAAAGGAGGGATCACAGAGAAAATATTCAAATATGCCTTGAAACCTGCCAAAATTCTATAACCTCAGGCTGACACTATTACTGAAATGTGTGAAAAATAATAAACTCCTTGCAGTAAGTAATTATAGTTAACATAGACAGTATACTGCGAGTCTATGTGGTCAGACAGTAAGTCAATGCTAACTGTCAAGTACATTAACAACACAGAATGACACATATTCAAAGGTTTTGACCTTTCTCCATTAAACCATTCTAATTTCACCTGAATTCCCTCTACCTGCCAAGTGAGGCTCATATTCTCAAGCAGCATTCCAGCATAGGAAGAGAAAATGAGTCAAACAGATTGCTATCAAACTTCCATTCTGAGCAGCATCTGCCATACGTTTATTTCCTCTTAAGGGTCCATGTTTGTCCTATTTGAATCTTAACAAGTAATGGAACTTTCAAAATATAGACAAATGAACTTCGAAGAAGAAAATAACAATTGCTGTAATTGCAACCACATTAACTGGACTGAGTTTTTGTTTAAATTGCTTCTGTACTTTTGATGAAAAACACTGTCCTTAAGAATAATGAACTGCTTAAAGCATGACCAAAATATAAAACCACAAAATTAAACTCATGAGAAAAATTAATTTAACTTGGCATAATCCTGGTTTGCAATATGACTATCAGATAATGAACACAAATTCATATGAATCACTGGCGAACACCAAGCACAAGAAACAGTTAATACCTATAGGTACTCTGAGAAATAACGGAATCCAAACAGTCTGTCTCTTTTGGGCTGGAGAAATTGAATAACCCTGCTTTGCCTCAAACACTGGCAAACATACATTGTGATCGTCAAATTCAACTTAATCCTTCCCTTCCTGGCTCAAAATAAAAATAAATACTCTGTCTCAGACTTAAGATGTGATATCCCTTTGTGGGTTTCCATGAAAGAGTGAGAAACACAGAAGAAATTGATCATGGGTGGATGGGCTTTGTATAATTTTTCTATCCCATAACCTTATTTTAGGAAGTAGAAAATAAGAGGCAAGACAATTTCAGAGAAAGTTCTCACAGTGACTATGACCGGATTATTTTTTATCAGTGCTGGTTGGATCAGAGCTGAAGCTGCTCTGTGTTTTCCACATAAATCCTGCCAAGTGTTTTGGAAGTTGGGTGACATTACTTTACCAAGGGATAGAATCACATTCCAGAGCATGTCACCTGTCACATTTCACCATCTCGGCATGCCCCATGTCAACAATTTCTGTCTTTTCTCTCTCTCTCTCCCAGTCCTTTTTCTGGAATAAGTAACTAACAGATCTCTTCCTTGACCCTCACACAATTTCTGTCTTTTCTCTCTCTCGCCCAGTCCTTTTTCTGGAATAAGTAACTAACAGATCTCTTCCTTGACCCTCACACAGAAGAGTTTTGCACATACTGTTTTTCTCATGGTGTGATTAGTTGTCATTCACCAACATGTAAAATAAATTTCACAGTCAACAAAAGAAGGAAGCAGGTTGGGCTCCGTGGCTCTGCCTGTAATCCCAGCACTTTGGGAGGCCGAGGCGAGTGGATTGCCTGAGCACGCAGGTTCAAGACCAGCCCAGGCAACTTGGTGAGACCTCGTCTCTACAATAAATAAAAAATTAGCCAGGTGTGGTGGCATGAACCTGTAGTTCTGGCTACTTGGAAGGCTGAGGTAGAAGGATCGCTGGAGCCCAGCAAGTCGACGCTGGGGTGGCCATGAGCGTGCCACTACACTTCAGTCTAGTTGAAGGAGTGAGACTCAACTCAAAAAAAAAAAAGAAGGAAGCAAGATTTAAAAAAAAAGGACACATGAACACCTCAAACGCAAATGGAGGACTAGCTCCCATTAAATCACTTGGCCTCCTATTCCTGAATTGGTCCTCCAGCAAGGGACCAGTGACAAAACACAGCAAACTTAACTTACGTATTAGCCATTTGAAAATAAGAACCACTACAAAATCAGCACCACTATCCTGGGAAAAGCAGCACAAATTATTACACATAAGAAATGTGGAATAGCCTTTGATGCATTTTCATGTCTGCTCAGTCCCTATCTGAACAGCTGCGCTGATAGCATTATATGTTTCAGAACAGGGCACTTGGGGAGGCTCAACAGATACCCGAATGGAGGTTGCCTGTGTGACCGAGAAGTGATTGTGAGTTAAGACCATTGGTTGCCACACTTAAAAACCCACCTGTGCATTCCACAGACATGGAAAGTCATTTGCAATCAGTACTTTCAGACTTACTTGTACTCCGGTGACTTTGGTCCCCTGGGGGAGAAATATCTGTTGTCCAGGCCTGAATGTGCTGATTGGGATGGGCAGTAGACACCACAGTGCTCTCGTTATTAATTGTGTTCGTAAGAATAACATCAGATCCCTGGACTTCACCATCAGTAACCAAAGGCTCACTCCCATTTGACTTAAAATAGGCCTTTGTTAATGTTCCTGAAAGGAAAAAAAAAAGATACTTTAAAACATTACCAGAAGTATTTATTTAAATATAAATAATATTATAATACTATATACACTATATAATACTATGTGGGGACCCAAAAAACCTGGAATTATCCAGGTTATTATGGAATTAAGGGCAGACTCCTTGTAATACAGGATTGCTCCATTGGGTCAGTATTCTAGGAAGCTACTGGCATCTGTGGACCAGCTAATGTTCTGAGAGGTTGCATTCAGCTTTGGTGAAATTTTTTTGGAGATTCTTTCAATGCATGTGTCCATTTCATGATGGACAATTTACAAGCACACCTGCCCACACTGTGCTGAGTATTCAGCAGAGTCTTTTGTTCGTTTGTTTGTTTTGCCAAAAACAGCATAACCCCTGTGTCCCACCCTCCCTATTCACCCAATTCCCCAGTGGCTTTTTTTGTTTCCCCAGATGAGAAAAGTCCTCAAAGGGAAACGTTTGGCTGATGTGGAAGAGTGGAAACAAAAACTGGCAGAAACACAAAATGGCATCAAAATTGACGAGTTCAAAAACTGTTTTGAGCAGTGGAAAAAGAGTCTCAAAAGGTGTATTACATCCAACAGAGAGGACTTTGAAGATGATTGAGTTTAAACATGTAAGAATAAATACACATTTTTTAATAAATAAATTCTAGGCTTTTGGAGGTCTCCCCTCATAAAACTATGTGTACACACACACACACACACACACACACTCACATATTATATAATATATATATAATATGTGAGTGTGTGTGTGTACACATATTATATAATATATATATATAATATGTGAGTGTGTGTGTGTGTGTGTGTGTGTGTGTGTGTGTGTGTGTGTGTGCTAAAACTCTAAAGCTACTTTCCCATCTGTCATTCTATCCAGGCAAACACAACGACAAAGATAATGGCTACCACCACAACCTCCTTCGTGGGGATAACCAAGAGAGTTTCTTTCCTACCACAAATCACACAGCCCTGTGGTGAAACATGGCTTTCTCAGAGCTTAAGGTTTAGAAACTGAGTCTCTCATCCTGGTTTCTTTGTGCAATTCCACCTACCTGGGTCTCACCACAAATAAATGTGGTGAATGCTTCCTGCATTCTCTTTTCTCCATAGGTAGAGTCACACTGACTCTACCTATCTCTATATTACCTTCAAGGAACACAATGGTGCCTGCTTGACATCAGCCTTATAGTTCCCCATATTTTGCACTAATTTTCAGTAAATTATGCATAACATATAAATAAAAATAATAGGACCTACTGGACATGGCGGCTCACACCTGTAATCCCAGCACTTTGAGAGGATGAAGTAGGAAAATTGTTTGAGCCCAGAAGCTTGAGACCAGCCTGCGCAACATAAAGAGACCACTTCTCTACAAAAATATCAAAATTAAGCCAGGTGTGGTGGCAGACACTTGTAGTCCCAACTACTCGGGAGGCTGAGTAGGGAGGATCACCTGAGCCCAGGAAGTCAAGGCTGTGGTGAGTCATGATCATGCCTGCATGACAGAATGAGATTCCAACTCAGAAAAAATTTTAAAATCTTAAAAATAGGGTTTATATACATATTTACCAAGACATATATCATAGAAACCAAAAAAGTTAAACTCTAATTAAACCACAAACTAAAAGAAGAAATTAAATTATCTTCATCTTTGACCAGAAACTATAAAATATAATTATATGAAATAAGAGGTACTCATTAAACTAAACTTATCAACTGGATACTTTCTCAAGGTATCCATTCATTGGCAAAATAAAGAGCTAACCCTGATTACTGGAAAGCACCTAGCTTTGTCTGCAGGCAGAAACTTTGGAAAACTTTGAAGAAATTATGTATTTTTAACTCAGTCAAAATAGACAGCAGACTGTGTTTCCAGAATACAGTACTGTATTTGAGTATGTCACAAAAATAAATGAATGTGATATTGATCCATCTCTTGAAGTACCCAAGGGAGATTTTCTTTCCTAAAAACATTTATAGTGAATGCTCTAATTGGCTCTCACTTTTCTAAATAGTCTCATGGACCATTAAAAATAAAAGAAATATAAATAAAATGTTTAATATCAGTCTATGGAAAAAATTTCTCTACATGTGCTTGACACTTGGAAAACAAACTACAAATCAAAATAGAAAAGCAGCTGTTTCTAGCTAAGGTCAATAGTTTCCTCTGCCAAAAGATTCTAAATAAAACACAGGAGCATAAAAGCTAGATCGTGACCACGTGATGCAGGTAACACACTCTCCAAGCTCTGTATGATGTGTAAATATCAAATGCCATGGGTGAAATGAAGGACTCTATTTAACTGTTTTTAATTTTTTTTTTTTTTTTTTTTTTTGAGTTGGAGTCTCACTCGGTTGCCCAGACCGGAGTGCAGTGGCCGCTCCCGGCCACCGCAGCCTCGCCTGCTGGGCTCCGGGGATCCTTCCGCCTCAGCCTTTCGCATAGACAGAATTACAGGCATGCACTACCACGCCCGGCTGATTTTTTGATTTATTGTAGAGATGAGATCTTGCTGCCCAGGCGGGTCTCGAACTCACGGGCTCAGGCAATCCACTCACCTCAGCCTCCCAAAGGCGCAGGATTACAGGCTGAGTCACCGAGCCCGGCTTTGTTTTTAATTTTTAAAATGACTTAGAATTCAACCTAGATCAAAGTAAGCATAGGTGATAGGCTTGATATGTAAAATGGATTTCATTCATACAGAAACATTTTCTAATCAGTTACATATAATTCTTTTGCCCACTTGGTCTCTTCTCTGCTTATTCTGGCATAAAGAGATTTTTCACATCAGGTGATATTTACACTAATGTGGCTGTAATGAACATATAAGGCTCATTAAGTCAGTTGACTTATCTTGCTGAACCTGAGTTAGCACCTAGCTCTACCAACAGATTTTTGGCATATACCAATTCCTCACAGTCATATCCTGGAGTAATGCTCTTAAAATGAGTTCCTTATCGTATAAAATATTCCAGTAAATTCTTTCAACATTTTTTTTGTAGTGATTAGCCTTATTAACAATCTTTCCTTTATCATTTTAACTTAATCACAGCGATTAAAGTGTTTATAACATCTGTTTACCCTAAGATGTCCTTTGAAACATTGACTTTTTTTAGAAAACACTGACTTAGATAACAACCTTCTTTTAAAAGGGCAGATTTGTTGCTCTTAAACCATGAGTCAAAGTGATTCAGCAGAATAGAGAAAGGTAATATATGAGAATTGCTGTACTTAATGTTTTAAAAGTATATTTTGAGGGAGGGAGAGGGGAGAGAGAGGGAGAGAGAAGACCTAAGTGGCGTGTCTTGAAAAGCCTGAACTCACTGGACAATTTGTTTTCAAGCATTTCTGGAAACTGACCAAGTCCCAACACAGTTGGTTGTCTACTATGCATTTTTTTAAAGCACAAGCATTAGAACTCAGTAAGACTAAACACTCTCAATCTGTACCATGATGAGCTATAAAAATGCTGAGAGCTATTAGCCCAAAGTAGTGTATTTATCCTTCTAATGTTGCCTCATCCCTTCCTACATTCCTATTTTTATAGTGGTGTAGCTAAAAAACAGGTTCTACCGCCCAACCACTTGGGTTTAAATCCCATCTCTACCACTCTCTAACCCTGAAACTTTGGGCAGACTCCCAACTGCCGTTAAAAAAAAGGCGGGGGGGGGGAATAAAAGTACCTACTCACAGAGCGGGCTGATGGGATCCAATTAGTCAGTGAATATATAAACACTTGAAGCAACTCTTGGAGCATTGCAAGTCCTCCTTGGCTGCCTGTCATGACTACACAGTGATGGTAATGATAGTTAAATTGTCTTCCTTGGGGCTACTAAGGTACTTTTAGATAAATACCAATTTCCTTTCACCGTAAGTGCATCCCCGCATTGCAAAACGACCAATTTTCAAAAATGAACCACTTAGCCCACTTTTGGAGTGAAACAACTGTAATATATTGGTAGAAAGTCACATTGCAGCAAAGTTGCATGGCTCAAAAGTGTTTCAGCTCTACAATGACAACAACAATTTAATGATGCTTAAGAAATAGTCTATAATTCCAATAATAATATCCAAACATTATTGATACCTTATAATAAAGAGGTTAGGCACTATGGTAGGCAGAATAATGCTCCCCCAGAGATGCCACATCCTAATTCCCAGAAACTGTGAATATGTTACTTGAATAACTTACATGGCAAAAGAGATGTTATAGTGGTGACTAAAGTGAGGCTGTTGAAATAGGGTGACTATCCTGGGTCATTCAGGTGAGCCCAGTGTCTTTATAAACAGAAGAGGGAGAATAGAGGGTAGGTGTCAGAGTCATGAAGTATAAGAAAGACTCAATGAGCCATTGCTTATTTTGAAGACAGAAGGAGCCACAAGCCAAGGAATGCAAGAAGCTCTAGAAACCAGAAAAGGAAAGGAAACAGACTTTCTTTAAGCCTGCAAAGGAAACACTTTTTTTTTTTTTTTTTTTGAGTTGAAGTCTCACTCTGTCGCCCAGACTGGCGTGCAGTGGCCGCTCCTGGCCACCCCAGCCTCGACCTGCTGGGCTCCGGCAATCCTTCCGCCTCAGCCTTCCAAGTAGCCGGAATTACAGGCATGCACTACCACGCCCGGCTGATTTTTTGATTTATTGTAGAGATGAAGTCTTGCTGCCCAGGCGAGTCTTGAACCCGCAGGCTCAGGCAATCCACTCACCTCAGCCTCCCAAAGGCACGGGATTACAGGCTGAGCCACCGAGCCCAGCTAGGAAACACTTTAATCTTAGCTTAGTGACACCTGTTTTGGACTGATGAATTTTATAACTCTAAGAAAATTAATATGTGGGTTTTTTTTAAGCTACCAAGTTAGTGGTCACCTGTTATAGCAACAGTAGGAAACTAATATGCTCACCTTGTTAAAAAGCACCACTATAGGCATCAACTGAGTTAACAGATAACATAATTAATTCCTTTTCACAGGCTTTTAGAGAGAAAGA